TTATTACCTGTAGTTTCTGACCAGCACTAGATACTTCCAGATATATGGTAGGTCTATGGCACAAAAATATATTTCAGACACGGATTGTGCGAAAGGGTTCCTGTATGCACTAAAAATTATATTCCAGGTTATTGCCCGTGTATGTAGCAATGTGGTCAACAGGTACACCACTTCTTAAAAAATTAAAACCCTGCCAGAACCGACAACTTATTCTTAAGGGAAAAATCCTTCTACAAAAGGTAGCCACCAGACTAACCCGAAATCGCACCAACTTCATTGCTGCCATTACTGCTTTACACGCTGTCAGTGTGATCTTGTTTTAGAAGGTCGGAAGTCAAATAATGCGTGGCAGAATCGTTGCTTCTGGTTCACAATTCATAAGAGTCCAAATATTTATTACGGGTAAACTGACATTTACAGTATTGCCAAGGTCTCGACAGAGGCCAGATCCATCCAATTTTATAATGAGGATAAATACGGTATCAGCAAGCACTTACTCCATGAAGTAGTCCTACTTCCTGCATGTTGTAGTCCAAGTCACAGTGTAGCACCGCGAAGTTCACTGCAAGTTACAGTAACGACTACTATTCGTTCCCGTGCTCCCGGAGCGTTTGCGTGTGTAAATGCAGGCCTGTTTTGGCCCACGTTGGTGCAGCCGAAACACTGACGTAAGTACGGTAAGCTTTTGAGATTTGATGTAGCGACATGTAACCGTAAAAAATTTGCAAATCTAATGAAGCCAAATATTTTGAGCGCTGCCTAAATATTTTAACAAAACATTGGTGACGAATTGCCAGCTGTGCGAAGTTTCCACCTTTCTGAGTTATGCAGACTTCCATGTATAATCTATGCCATACCTAAACAAATAACAACTAAAACTCGAACACTAGATCCGGGTTGACTCACCTAGCCCAGATCCTTGTTGAGGATGAAGTCGGAAGTCGTGTATTTGTAATCCAACTTCATGCTACAAACTCCCGTGCATGAACAAAAATAAACTAATTCCCCCAAATAAGATGGAACACTGGTTTTCAGACAGGACACATACAAAGTAGAAATCTTCAAGAACAGGAAATTAATACCGATGAGATCACTTCCTTCTGTTTGAAATTTCCAAAAAAAAAAAGTCCTGCAGTGCATTAGTTTACCAACGCAGACAGACGGCTGTAATTTCGCTCCTTAAATGTATTCCTTTGAGAAAAAAACACGCATACACAGAAAAAAATGGAAAGGTAGAGTTTAATAAGCCCATGAAAGATCAGCTGTTTCTCATTATAATAGTAAGAGAGACTTCGACAAACACCAAACTACACGTTGCAATGTGTCTGGACCTCTATAAACCTGCACAGTTGAAAGGAGTTCGCAACATTATAAATATTCAGCAGCGTAACCTGCCAACTAGATTATATCGTGTGAATCCGATATCTTGCTGCTCAATGTTTCATTGAGTGACATCAATCCACACAGTCCGATTGTGAGTTATCTCCTTCTTCTCTATTCCATACTTCTACTCCAGTTTGTATTTCCTGGGATTTCCGAGCTGCACCGTTTCCGCCAGTGGTTACTCAAACGCATTATTTCTCCATGGTCCTAAATACTGACGTAACTGCGAGTGCATGTCGATAAATAACGTGAAATTGATAAGTGCTGGTAAAGTATGGTCCACAGAGATAAACCTCCTTCTGTTACTCTGGATACATGGCGTCTAACTCAGATAATGTTATATAATTTCATTAAGAAATCAAAGGCGTATACACTTCAGAGTAGACGTTAAATGTAGTATAACAGACAATATTAACTTTTAAAAGTGGGTTTGCAAATCACTCTGCATCATACACAAATGCCAGAAGTTGTTTTATGTCAGTTTTGGATTGGGCGCTTTTCAGATCCACAGCAGAGGGCGCTATTATCCCTACTAAACGGGGTCTTGATCTCATTCTTTCTCTCCTGTTAATACATGTAGTCGCTGGAGGTGATGAACAAACACATCATTAGCGAATAACGTGTAGTAAAATATGTCCGCTTACGCTCATGGAGTAGAGATACACTGAAAACGCGTTGCGAATATGTAGTTACAATCGATTTGCCCCCATCGAATGGGCTGAACTCAAACAACGCCAGAGTCTAAAACTTTACGAGCCAGCCAGGAGTCGAACCTAGAATCTTCTGATCCGTAGTCAGACGCGTTATCCATTGCGCCACTGGCCCGCATGTTAGTCGGGTTAGGATCCGTGGATACAGAGATGCCCTACATGCACGTTGAGTAAATGTTCAGATGAATCCTTGATTTTAATGTAAGAAACAAAAACAACACCAACGCATTGTAGAACTGCTGTCAGATCGAAAATGTTACCCCCGTGAAGTATACTTCTTATTACTGAGATGCGTTCAGTATTTCCCCAGATCTGAAAACAAATCTCTAAACATTGTGATTGTTCATGGGCATCTCTTCAATGTAAGCACCGTACAGACTGAAAGTGTAAGATGTTTTACCACATGATGGTAGTCTGGCAGAGAGGGTGTGTGTTGGGTTGCCTATAAAAGGATACGAGCCAGCCAGGAGTCGAACCTAGAATCTTCTGATCCGTAGTCAGACGCGTTATCCATTGCGCCACTGGCCCGTTAGACTGTATTCCACGTGCGTGTCATTCGGCGCGGGGTATCCGTGATGGCTAATGATTTGATTTCTTTTGATTCTGTTTTCTCTTTTTCCTGCGCTGCAGGAATCTGATATGGAAAGTTTAAGACACCATTCCCAAGAGACGGTATGTGAGGTTGCAACTCCATGGCACAGGATCATCATGTAAAAATCAGATAGTTTGGACTCTGCACTGATGGAGGGATGATTTGTTTGCAAAAGTGACGAGCCAGCCAGGAGTCGAACCTAGAATCTTCTGATCCGTAGTCAGACGCGTTATCCATTGCGCCACTGGCCCCTTAGGCTAGTGCTTCACGTGCATGTCGTTCCCGGCGGTGTATCCGTGATGGCCAATGATTTGATTTTGTTTTCTATCTTTTTCCTGCGCTGCAGGAATCCAGCCTGTCTTCCCGCATCCCCCTGAGGGATATGGGAAGTTTGAGACACCATTCCACCATTCCCAAGAGACGGTATGTGAGGTTGCAACTCCATGGCACAGGATCATCATGTAAAAGCAGATAGTTTGGACACTCTGCTGATAGGGGAATGGCTTGTTTGCAAAAGCGATCGAGCCAGCCAGGAGTCGAACCTAGAATCTTCTGATCCGTAGTCAGACGCGTTATCCATTGCGCCACTGGCCCTCGCAGCTTTGTTTTACGGTAATAGGAAAACACTGGGTCGAGTCTATTAGCAGCCTTAAGGTAGTAGGGTGTCCAGACACAAAGTAACAATACTTGCCTTTTAATCCTAACAAGGAAAATATAATTCAAATGTGAATTGTGTATACAGTAGTTTTAATAATTCTTGTTTAACTTTTAAGTGTATCAGTCACCGTGGGCTACCAATAGTGAACTTAGCCATAATGTTATAGCAAGAACACAGCGTGCGCTAGTTTTTCCAAAGTCAAAGATATACAATCACAGAAATATTTAGAAGACTCGAAGAAGTAATAAAAAGGGAAATACAGCTAACATTAAAATATTGGGTAACTTCACTGCTGCTCTTCACTACGCCGGATACACCGCGGTCCCTCGGGAATCGGCCGTGTATTTCATGTCATCCCATGAGTTTTCTCTAACAGTTGGTGTTAAAGAGCAGTGCTATGGAGCAGGAGGCTGTACACTATTGCTGGTGGTAATTAAGATGTTATATTCAAACGTATCAAACGTATCAGTTACATACCAAAGAAAACCAGAACTATAATTTATGGGATCTTCCAGACATCTTGCATTTTGAGTTTGCACAGATAAATTACAAAGTATCTTACTCTCATTCTGAGCCGTCAAACATCAATGGCACAAATTAAGACCCATATGCATGTAATCATAGGTACAGGTCAAACCAGGCTACACCACAATCATCTCAGTCCCCACCCCCTAACACCTGCTACTTGTATTACTTGTGGTTTATTTTACATATAGTGCTGCAATGTGTTATAGAGTGTGTGATCTACTGACTGCAATGTATGGTAGTGTGTGTACATGGCTTCGCTTAGTTTTTAGGCTGTCCAGCCAAGTTAGCTCAAGTTAACTTGTGGTAGGCCTCGAATGGTGTTACGCTTACACTCACTGGTCTGGGAGTGCTGTTAGCCTGGTCTGAGACTATTGCTCATTCAATTTGAATGGATACACTTCTGTTCTCTTGTGCTGGAAGTCATTGTGGATAAGAGCATCTGCTAAATGATTGTAGTGTAAAGTAATGGTAGCAGCACCATGGGTCTGTGCAGCATCACAGATCTGTGCTGTCCAATCACAGGCCTCCTTGTCAAGTGCTAAACATCCAGGCTTATCATCAGTGAGGGGCACCGATTGGTTTGGCATTCAACATTTTCCAACATCGCCAGGGATAGGCCATAGAGTTCTGCAAGGCTGCTGCTTGTTCATGGGCATCTCTTCTATGTAAGCACCGTACAGACTGAAACTGTCAGATGTTCTACAATATGATGGGAGTCTGACAGGCAAGGTGTGTGTTGGGTTGCTTATAAAAGGATCCGAGCCAGCCAGGAGTCGAACCTAGAATCTTCTGATCCGTAGTCAGACGCGTTGTCCATTGCGCCACTGGCCCGTTGTGTTACTGCTTCACGTGTGTGTTGTTCCTCGCGGGGGTTTCCGTGTTGGCTAGTGATGATTTGATTTCTTTTGATTTTGTTGTCTGTCTTTTTCCTGCTCTGCAGGAATCCAGCCTGTCTTCCTGCCTCCCCCTGGGGGATTTGAAAAGTTTGAGACATCATTACCAAGAGATGGTATGATTCCTTCTATAGAAGGGTGAGGTTGCAACTCCATGGCACAGGATCATCATGTAAAAGCAGATACTGTTGTTTGGACACTCTGCTGATAGGGGAATGGTTTGTTTGCGAAATTAATCAAGCCAGCCAGGATTCAAACCTAGAATCTTCTGAGCCATAGTCAGACACATTATACATTGCGCCACTACTTGTTGGGTTATTGTGCCACATGCGTGTCATTCCACATGGGGTATCCGTGATGGCAAATGGTTTGATTTCTTTCTAAGATGATGGTAGTCTAGTACGCAGCGTGTGTGTTGGGTTTCCTATAAAAGGATACGAGCCAGCCAGGAGTCGAACCTAGAATCTTCTGATCCGTAGTCAGACGCGTTATCCATTGCGCCACTGGCCCTCGCGGCTTTGTTTTACGGTAATAGGAAAACACTGGGTCGAGTCTATTAGCAGCCTTAAGGTAGTAGGGTGTCCAGACACAAAGTAACAATACTTGCCTTTTAATCCTAACAAGGAAAATATAATTCAAATGTGAATTATGTGTATACAGTAGTTTTAATAATTCATGTTTAACTTTTAAGTGTATCAGTCACCGTGGGCTACCAATAGTGAACTTAGCCATAATGTTATAGCAAGAACACAGCGTGCGCTAGTTTTTCCAAAGTCAAAGATATACAATCACAGAAATATTTAGAAGACTCGAAGAAGTAATAAAAGGGAAATACAGCTAACATTAAAATATTGGGTAACTTCACTGCTGCTCTTCACTACGCCAGACACACCGCGGTCCCTTGGGTATCGGCCGTGTATTTCATTTCATCCCATGGCTTTGTTGGGTTGCCTATAAAAGGATCCGAGCTAGCCAGGAGTCGAACTTAGAATCTTCTGAGCCGTAGTCAGATGCGTTATCCATTGCGCCACTGGCCTGTTGTGCTGTTGTCCCACCTGCGTGTCATTCCACATGGAGTATCGACGATGGCTAGTGACGATATGATTTTGTTGTTTTTTTCCTGCTCTGCAGGAATCCAGCCAGTCTTCCTGCCTCCCCCTGGTGGATCTGGAAAGTTTGAGACACAATTCCCAAGAGATATGATTTCCTCTAAAGAGTAATGGTCTCTGTAGACGACAGCAGCTAGGCCACCAGGCAGGTGATCCACTGGATCTTAGTACACACCCAGTGGTGCTTTCAGCACCAGGAATAAAGGTTACCATCTTTGTGGGTGACCTGAAGTGACCCCAGATCAGTCTGCCCTGGTGTCGAGCAGCACAAGCCACAGCTTTGCCAAACTGATCCAGCTGGTGCCATAAAGCTGTGATGGCACTGGCCTGCTGGTTGGTGAGGGTGAGGCCAGATTCATGACACAGACTGACCAGGTATTAAGCCAGTTTCTCTCCTCAGTCATATCCAGAGCTGTGGTCAGCATCTACAGCCTGCAAACACACGTGAGTGGACACAAAAACCACCTTTACACTGGTTACTACATGATGGTAGTCTGGTAGGCAAGTTGTGTGTTGGGTTGCCTATAAAAGGATCCGAGCCAGCCAGGCGTTGAACCTAAAATCTTCTGTCAGACACGTTATCCATTGCGCCACTGGCCCATTGGACTGCTCTTTCACATGCGTGTTATTCCGTTATATAGCCGTGATTGCTAAAGATGGTTTGATTTCTTGTTATTTTGTTGCCTACCTTTTTCCTGCTCTGCAGGAATCCAGCCTGTCTTCCCGCCTCCCCCTGGGGGTATGGAAATTTTGAGACACCATTCACAAGAGATGGTATGATTCCTTCTACAGAAGGAAGGTTGCAACTCCGTGACACAAGATCATCATGTAAAAATCCCTCTCTGCCGATAAGAGAATGGCTTGTTTGCAAAAGCAATCGAGCCAGCCAGGAGTCGAACCTAGAATCTTCTGATCCGTAGTCAGACGCGTTGTCCATTGCGCCACTGGCCCGTTGGGGTGCTGTTTCATGTTGTGTCATTCTGTGCAGGGTATCTGTGATGGCTAATGATTTGATTTCTTTTGATTTTGTTTTCTCTTTTCCTGCTCTGCAAGAATCCAGTCTGTCTTCCCACCTCCGCCTGGGGGATATGGAAATTTTGAGACACCATTCCCAAGAGATGGTATGATTCCTTCTACAGAAGGGTGAGGTTGCAACTCCATGGGACAAGGTCATCATGTAAAAATCAGATAGTTTGGACTCTGTACTGATAGGGGGATGGTTTGTTTGCAGAAGAGACTGAGCCAGCCAGGAGTCGAACCTAGAATCTTCTGATCCGTAGTCAGACGCGTTGTCCATTGTGCCACTGGCCCGTTAGGGTCCTGTTTCACATGCATGTCGTTCCCGGGGGTGTATCCGTGATGGCCAATGATTTGATTTTGTTTTCTATCTTTTTCCTGCGCTGCAGGAATCCAGCCTGTCTTCCTGCATCCCCCTGAGGGATATGAGAAGTTTGAGACACCATTCCACCATTCCCAAGAGACGGTATGTGAGGTTGCAACTCCATGGCACAGGATCATCATGTAAAAGCAGATAGTTTGGACACTCTGCTGATAGGGGAATGGCTTGTTTGCAAAAGCGATCGAGCCAGCCAGGAGTCGAACCTAGAATCTTCTAATCCGTAGTCAGACGCGTTATCCATTGCGCCACTGGCCCTCGCAGCTTTGTTTTACGGTAATAGGAAAACACTGGGTCGAGTCTATTAGCAGCCTTAAGGTAGTAGGGTGTCCAGACTCAAAGTAATAATACTTGCCTTTTAATCCTAACAAGGAAAATATAATTCAAATGTGAATTATGTGTCTACAGCAGTTTTGTTTAAGTTTTAATTGTATCAGTCACCGTGGGCTTACAATAGTGAACACAGCGTGCGCTAGTTTTTCCAAAGTCAAAGATATGATCCAGATGGTGCCATAAAGCTGTGATGGCACTGGCCTGCTGGTTGGTGAGGGTGAGGCCAAATTCATGACACAGACTGACCAGGTATTAAGCCAGTTTCTCTCCTCAGTCATATCCAGAGCTGTGGTCAGCATCTACAGCCTGCAAACACACATGAATGGACACAAAAACCTCTGCAAAACATGCCAAAGAGCAGATACATTTTAGAGTAAGCAGGGTGAGAGGCACGCAGGCGGAGCAAACCGTAGCCAGCTACTCCCTGTCTATGGCAGTCACCTCGGGATGTTCCCATGGGGGTCAGGACAGTGGAATCACTGGCCACCTTCCGACCCAGACTGAAGACCCCCCTCTTCAGACTGCATCTCATGAATGTAATGCAATGTTAGCAGCACTGCAGATCTGTGCAGCGTCACAGATCTCTGCTGTCCAATGGTAGTCCTCCTCATCAAGTGCCAAACGCCCAGCGTGATCATCAGGGAGGGGCGCCAGTTGGTTTGGCGTTCAATAGTTAAGTGTTCAATGTTTTCCAACACTTTCCAGCATTGCCAGGGACAGAGTTCTGCAAGGCTGATGTTATGCAGCACAACTTATAAAATACCCATGGCGGATGCAACTTATCTCAGATCGGGGAGGTGAAAATCAAACAGTGTCTGCACTATGGCATTGTATCTGAACAAGATCAGTCATTACATAGACTCCAACCTAGATAACCCGTGAGTCAATGATTTTATGTTTGAAAGAAGTTGTTTAAGGACAATGCCTGTGTTATGGTAGTATAGCTTAAAATGAAAGTGAACATGAAAGTGAGTCATACTACTTTTATTTCATTTAATTAAGGACTGGGTTAGAAATATTGCACAATCCAGCTTGTGCCTCTACCGTGACAGAGGATGTTATGGTGAGGTAAGCCTAAAGTGCACTGATGCCGATTCCAAAGTCAAGATGAAAAAGGGGGAAAAGTATATGAAAAGGGGAATTTCACAATTAAACACGAGAAAAATAATGCCTATTTGATGTATTCTTATGTATTTCTGATTTTCAGAGTCTCTTATATGAATCAGTGCGGATGTGGTTATTGTAAGGAAGAATGAAAAATTATGAAGCTCCACAACATCTTGGTTTCTTTTAAAAAATAAGTCCCTATTTGAACAAAATGGTCAATTTCTCAAATAATTGTTATTCTTCTTCCCTCCAGTGGCAATTTATAGTTACTGAATCTTTGAAAAAACAGTAACAGTTTCCCTAAACGGCCTCAAGATGGCAGGGAAGCACCGGTGTTTGCACAAAATTTTCTTGTTGCACCAGTTTTTTGTCGTTGTTTTCATTCTGAAGTAAATTAACGTACTACACTAACGTGTTATTATTTCTTCAGTTATCGTGTGAATTTCAATTAGAAGAACAAAATTTAACTTTGATGAAAAATGTTACGTCCCTGGGTGGGCTCGAACCACCAACCTTTCGGTTAACAGCCGAACGCGCTAACCGATTGCGCCACAGAGACGACATAGCCTATCCTCTCAGACCCGTGGTTAAGAACCTACCCTATAGTTTGCGGAATGGTTTATGTTTTAACGAATTTTATTCATAATAGAAATGCGTTTGGAGAACAACTGACACGCCACGGCAATTCATTTACATCTTTATTCCACATGTAATAAAATGTAGAAATCTTGCAGAGATTTCACTTGACAAGTTCACAACATGACTTCACTCGAACAAAAATATTAGGAGGCAGTTATCGCGAGTCTTTCGTTTACGCGCAGCACATTCTATAGGGATAAAAACTAAACTTGCCTACCAATTATATTTACTGGTTTTGAATATCATATTTTAGGTAGTTTATATAAATATCAAGCTATTCCTGGATCTACAATATATGTTCTTACAAAATCACGAATCTGAACACATGAATTAAAGATACGCATGAGGGTTTTGTTTTGAACAGCCGGCCAGTAAGATTGTAACGTCTGTCCGTTTACCAGGCTGGGGAACATGGCGACTGAAGGTCTCCTGGACTTCACAACCATACTCAAGCGTGTCTGATTATGCCATTTGATTATATTTTATGTCGGATTATGCCTATGTAGAAAAATGGAGGAACCGTGGGATTTTGAATTCGTGTCCCGAATTATGGACGGAATGGTAACATTTCTGTCCGAGTTCGTGGAGGACTGGCTGGCCAATGATATGAGGGTGGCCATATTTAAAATTCTGCTCAGCTGGCTGGTCTTCAGCCTGATCGCCATCCACTTCGCCTGGAAAGTGTACGGAAACACCGTGAACGACATGTATTACAGGCAAGGTAAGGACTGCATCGGTCCGAGAAAGAGACTTGGACTGCGAACTGGCCTCACAGTAGCTTGGCCTTTGCATCAGACTCTATCTTCACATTGTAGCTAAAATGATAAAGCACAGGGCCAAGTTACTGGAAAGAAGAACTTTACAGTAAACACTGGCTAGCCGCTAGCGCTGACTTCGAAATTTGCTGCTTTAGTGTGTGGTGTTATGTGGTGCTAGGTATTTGCTAGTTGTGATTTAATGTCATATTTGTATGAATAATTTGTGTGGCAGAGCAGTATTTCTATGTATATGTAAAGACATATGTGTTTGTGTGTAATGAAATTGACTGGCAGACCTTTGTAAATGTGTATATGGACTTACATTTTATACACGTGAGTGAGTTAGCGTCTTTTATGCAGAACACATTTGTTACAGATACTGTATCATGATTTTTTGGAGCATGTTTTATGTGTTAAAAATTATAATATTCAGATAAGTATGTGAAAGATAAACAGTAGACTTTGGTGATACACATACTGAATCCTAAATGCTTTTTGTAAGACAATAATAAGCCAATATATCATAAGCCATTTTGGAGCAGCATCTTGCATCACAAGATATTAAATATTTGGTCTCATTGGCTTCTCATTGGCCTGGTCAAAGGCAAAAACCTATGATAAGGTACAGAAATCCTTGTCCAATTCATGGAAACACTGCCTGTAATATTACCCATAAAGCAGATGTAGCTATAGGCTGAATATAACAAAATTTAGGCTATCCACCCAGGGTAGGATAACGGTAAGATATGGTATTAGACAAAATAGTCTGGTCATTTATCATGTGGTCTGAATTGTCTTTGTATGAATGTGGTTAGATGGTACAGAGGTGAACATTTGTAGAATCAGATTGCAGGGTCATTGTGGTTATTTCTATGGGACACAACAAAAAAAGAGCTTAACTGTTAGTTTTGTATAGGTATGGGGCATGCCCTGCTGACCTGGGTACCTGGAAAGGGATACTTTCAAATTGAAATGCTTTAGTCAACCAATGGCCGCTGGTGGGGACAAGTAGCAGTTTGCTGGGGTGGAAACACTGCGCATATACACATTTCTGCCCCAGGGGAATTAGCAGTGTGCTCTTATCCAGAAGAGGAATTAGGAAGTTAATATGAATTGTTTTTATTAATACTTTCTCTCTCACACACCTCTGCCCCCCCCCCCACCTCCTACCTTTTCTGCAGGTACTGGTGGGCAGAATGGTGGTACTCCAGACACAGCTCCACACATCAGTGGCTGGTAAGTGTCCTGTGCAGGTGTGCCTCCCAAACTCGGCATGTACCTCACACCATGGTATCAATAAATTTACATGGTCAAACATGTTGTACACACCTAAGTGCTGGGAACATGACCTGGTTTCTTGTGGCCAG